AGCTTTCTTTCGTGCAGCTTCTTCTCTTGCCTTCCTGCGCGTCCTCCCTTTTTGCTTTCTTTTGTGCGGCCTCCTCTCAACTCTTTTGCGTTCGGCTTCTTCCTCTGCGGCCCGCTTGCGCTCAGCCTCTTCCTCTGCGGCCCGCTTGCGCTCAGCCTCCTCCTCTGCAGCCCGCTTGCGCTCAGCCTCCTCCTCTGCAGCCCGCTTGCGCTCAGCCTCTTCCTCTGCGGCCCGCTTGCGCTCAGCCTCTTCCTCTGCGGCACGTTTGCGCTCAGCCTCTTCCTCTGCGGCACGTTTGCGCTCAGCCTCTTCCTCTGCGACACGCTTGCGCTCAGCCTCTTCCTCTGCGGCACGTTTGCGCTCGGCTTCTTCCCCTCCCTCCGCAATCCTTTCTGCGGCCTCCTCCTCGGCGCCCTTGTATGAGGCCGCTCTGTCCGGCTTCTCCCGCACAGCTCTTTTTTGGGCTATATATTTTTTACTCAGTCTTCCCCGAACCGTTTTTGTAATGGCGGGCCGTGAAAGGGCTGCAGTTTTTGTTTCGCCAACTTCTCGGACTTCATCCGAGAAATGTGGAGACTTCGGCTTGCCGTTACCCACGTGCGGCTGCTGTGCCAAGTCGGGCGCTGGCTCCTCTGCAATTGCCTTTGCCACTGCCACCTTCTCCTCGACGTGGGGAGGTGCGTGTGTTTCCCCGTTCCCCGGGGAGTCTGTCGCGGCCTCGCATGCCTGGAGGTAGCGACTGCGTTTGAGTGACTTCGAAATCACGGCAGCGGGCCCCTGTTTGACCTCCTGCTCTGAAGCCCCCGAAAAGGCGTCCGCAGGCTGCTCGTGTCGCTCCGTCCCACGGACTTCGTGCTGCATGTCTTCAGTGGGCACAGTGGGGGACGGCGACACCGCCGCGTCGTCCGTGTGTGGCTGCCGCGTTTCTTTCGCCTCCACCTGGGCGGCCGCAGAGTTTTCGGCGGCGCTGTTGGTGGCGAGCGCCTCTGCCTCTGCGGCACCCGCGGTGTTGTCCCTTTCGTCGTGGGGGACCCTCCGCTGCCTGCGCTGCAGCTTCAGGTTCTTGGAGATCGCCATTGGGCGACGTGACGGCGTCGCTGGCGCAGTGGTGTTCGCCGCGGCACTGCCCGCGACGGCCGGCTCACGTGGTTTCTCTATGGGTTCCCGCCCCTCTGCCTCTATGCGCGCGGCCCCCGCCGGGGCGGCGTCAGCGGCGGCGTCAGCGGCGGCGTCCGTCGGCTGCAGCTCCGGCCCCGGCTGCGCCTGCGGCGCCGCTCCGTCCTGGGCGCCCGCGTCGTCGAATAGAAACGCGAGCTTCGGGCTGCGCTTCGGAGCGGCCGCCTTCGCCGCCGCCGGCCCCCCGCTGCCCCCGGCCTCCGTCTCCGCCTCCTCGAAGAGGAACGCCATCTTCGGCTTCCGCTTGTGCGCCAACTTTGTCAACACCGCCCGCGGTGCCGCGGCACTCTGCTCCTTTTGCTCGGCGCCGGGGACGGCCTCCCCGGCTTGCCGGCGGCGTCGCGGAGGCATCGTCACGGTCGCTACGACTCGCTCCCTGCCGAGGCGGGTGCCGCACACGCGTGTGACGATGACGATGACGACGCCGGCGGCCGCGGTGGCAGCAACGCGCGAGAGGCGAGGCAACGAAGGAAGAGAGAAGCAAAAGCAAGGAAGAGGCAGAAAAGCGATGCGCGTGGGAGGGGAGGGCGGAAGTGACAAAAGGGAGGAGGACAAAAAACAACCGTTGCGACGACGGCGTTGACGTGGACGCCGGAATAAATTGCAGCCACCGCACACACACACACACACACAACCGCAGAGAGAACACAACTGCGGCGCTGGCGGCCCCGCACGCCGTCGATCAGAAACTTCCTTCTCCCGCCACCTTAGGGGTGTGGGCGTCGGAGCCCGCACGTGACGCGCCGCCCTCAGTTCCCTTTCCGTTCCCCCCCCCCTCCGTCCGTCCGCTTCGTCCCTTCTTCCCCTCTTCTCGCCCCCACTCGCTGCGTTCTTGGGCAAAAAACGGCAGCGCAGCTGCGAGGCCGCAGCGAGGCTCGTTCACGGCTTCGAACGCCTGCCGCAGCAGGAACGCAGAGTGCGCCCCCGCCGTCTGCAGCAGGCGCTGCATCGTCGTCGGTAGGCGGCGGCGGGCTTTCCGCACGCTGCCGCGCAGGTCGCCCTCCACCCGCACGAGAAGTTCCAGCAGGCCCAACGCCAGCCGCAGCAACCCGCTTGAGTCCGCGGCGCAAGTCGCCCGACGGGCGGCTTCCACGGCGCTGGGGAGCGTTTCGACCGCACGGGCGACGCCGTTGCCTCTCCGCAGGCCTCCGCCGAGACCGGAAATAAGGCCCCGCTACAACGGCGGGGGAGCCCCGTCGCTCGCGCACTCGGCTCAGCGCCGCGAGAAACTACAGCGTGCCGACGGGGCCGCATATCGCCTTCAGCGCCGCCCGCCGCTGCCGCAGTTGGAGCGCCGGGCACCCTTCGACGAGTGGAAAGCGAAACAGGAAGGAAAAGAAGGACGCGAACACCGCACGTACAACTCCCTCCCCGCTTAGCGGACAACGCCTGCGGCCACGCGCGTCAACATGTAGGGCCACGTGTGCGAGAATCGCGAAGAGGCGGCGGCTATTCGCTGAAGAACTCCAGCGCATCTTCGTCTGCGTCAACGGCCTTCGCGTCACTTGCAGCCGGCGTCGCAGGGGAATCATGCACGCGCGACGGCGCCGCGGTCGGTGGAGTCACGAAGGCCACTTTCCACACGCCGGCGCCCTCATCACGGTACAGGAGGTGACGCGCGTCCGCCGCCACCTCAACCAGCGCATCGTCCAGACAAACGCGGTTCGCCATTGCCACTACACGCAGCAAGAACTAAAGGAAACAAAGAGTGGGAGGAAGAGGAAAAAAACAAAGCCCACCTTGGCGCAGCCTCGACTCAGAGCAAAGACAGAGGGCCCCGCACACTCTGATTCAGCCGCACACGCCTCACAACATGCTAGCGTCACAAATAAGGCAAAACAAAAAAATAGTAAGGAACACACACACACACACAAAGTAAAAAAACAACAACAAAAGGAAATTAACGCGCACGTACTAAACAAGGACACTGCCATATACGCCTACAGACACAGACAAATAGTAAAATACACGCAATGCCAAGGAGGCCCCAAACTTACATAAGGGTACAACACTTCCGCCCCTTTGCCTTGCCTTCATTACCCGCCGGCAACTTTATAAAAGTGGACCCATCCGGTTTGGGGACCTGCGCCTCTTTTGCGGCATTGTTATCACATAGACCAGCCCTCTCAGTATGCTCCTCTCCCCGCGCAATCGGAGCAACCCCCACCCCCTCTTCACCGCCTTAACTGCAGTTTTTTGCGGGACCAAATTGTGTTCATCTTCGCTGACCGCCCCTTTCATTTCATTGGTGAGGTAGAGATAAGAACCGCCCTGCACATTTTCGCCCGCTGGCGGTTGCTCATACCGCGCCCTAGACATGCGCACACGCGCTCGCACGTCATCCGGCATAGTATGAGGAACAGGGGTTGAAGGATGCAGTGGCCCTTTCTCTCCCCCCGTGGAGGTGCTCTCGGGCTTCACCAGCAAGTCAGCCCCCTGGGCAGCGGAGGGGGCAATCCCAACTGCCTCTCCTTCCCTCACCGCTTCAGCTGTAACGGCAGGAACCGCCGCTCCATGTTTCTGGACGTGTTCCGTGTGGCCCGCGGCCCCGTCCTCTTTCTCCTTATTGCCGTCACATGATGCATTCACATATTTGGACGCCTTTTCAACTGGAACCCCCTCACGTGAGAGGTGGGAGGCGCCCACGTGCTCCCGCGCGTCATCTGGCGCGTCGTGAGAAACGATGGGGGAGGAGCGCCGCTGCTCCGAGCCCCCCCACCCCCCCCGAAGCGGGGCCTTGTCGGGTGTGGCCCGCAGGTTTTCGTCCACGGCGGCGCAGGGTGCTGGCAGGATCGCCTCCTGGCGTGGGTCCGCGTGCACAGCGCCGTTGCGGCTTGGGTGCGGGTTCTTCAAGTTAACGGCGGCCTCAATGTTCGCCTCGGCAGCGCCGTGCCCGTTGCTCTTTCCAGCGACGCCCGGCTTCTCGCCCGCCGCAATGGCCAAGTCGCCGCTGGCGTCGTGTGCGTTT